TAGGATTACAGGCGTGAGCCACCGCGCCCGGCCTCTTTTTTTTTTTTTTTTTTGAGACAAGCTCTTGCTTTGTTGCCACGCTATGGTGCAGTGGCATCATCAGAGCTCACTGCAGCCTCAAAATCCTGGGTTCAAGGAATCCTCAGCCTCCGGAGTAGCTGGGACTGCAGGTGCATGCCACCACGCCAGGCTAATTTTTTCTGTTTTTAGTAGAGACAGGGTCTCGCTCTTGTCCAGACTGATCTCCGAACTCCTGACCTCAAGCAGTCCTCTCGCCTTGGCCTCCCAGAGTGCTAGGATTACAGGCATGAGCCACCGCGCCCTGCCTGTATGTTGACCTTTGTGCCTCTATTTCTAACTCAATTTCTCCTGAGAGCAATATAAAAATTACCATTCTGTTTCCTTTATGTGTATAACTTAACATGGGTTTGTCCAATTAGTACCTTTACTGTTGAATTTTCTAACAAGATTATTTTGCATTTGTGCTAACTTAATGAAAATTTTCAGTTAACAGTGTTTGAACATTTCATTGCATTCACATAGATGATACATTTAAAATGTTAAAAACTTACATGACAGCATATACACTATCAGTTTATTGCTGAAATCCTGTGTAAAATTGAAGATTTGAATTGTTTCTGGTTAATTTTAATGCTGAGCCTATTCAATTAAGGAGAGTTAGTAATTCCTAGGTGTCATCATCTGTCATCTTTTTTTTTCTTTAATCCCCATACTCAATCACATATCAGACTTTAACTTTTTTCCACTTTGAAAATGTCTGGAATTCACTCCTCCATTTTACATTTAGGCCTTGTGCACTTTATATTTGCATAACTCCTTCAGTAGCAGCTTTCTCTTTATTACAGGTTACATTCCAGATTCTCTCATCTAACTTTCAGGCCGTTCAGTACCTTTCCCAAACCTTTGTATCCTAATCAAAAGTGCTTGCCACAGATCCTTCACTTCTGTCAGGAAGATTTTTGTCCCATCTCTCACTTGGTCATGATGCTCTATCTTTATTATCCTTTTGTTTTAGCTCTAATTGCTTGCTTATATTTGCTTTCCTTTCTTTAAATACTTTTTTTTTTTTGGAGACAGTCTCACTCTGTTGCCCGGGCTAGAGTGCCGTGGGGTTAGCCTAGCTCACAGAAACCTGAAACTCCTGGGCTCAAGTGATCCTCCTGCGTCAGTCTCCCGAGTAGCTGGGACTACAGGCACGCACCACCATGCCCGGCTAATTTTTTCTATATATTTTTAGTTGTCCAGATAATTTCTTTCTACTTTTAGTAGAGACTGGGTCTCGCTCTTGCTCAGGCTGGTCTTCAACTCTTGACCTTGAGCGATCCACCCGCCTCGACCTCCCAGAGTGCTAGGATTACAGGCGTGAGCCACCACGCCCGGCCTGCTTTCCTTCCTTTCTTGCTTGCTGTATATACTACTACTAAACTCTCTCCCAGCTCCCGTGTATCTGTCAGATATGATATTCCTAAAGCATAGTTTCTGTTGATATGACAGAATTTTTCAAAGCTAAATGGGGCCTGAACTAGATTCTGTCACAACTTCTTTCTCTAACAGATAAGGAAATTGAGGCCCAGAAAGGTGAAGAAATTT